GGGACAAGCAAGTACCGGTAGGGGGGTCGGTTGATGCACATTGTTATGGTCCTCTTGGGCACCTTCAAGTCTAAGGAAAAGACCGTCGATAAATGTAGTTATCTGGAAAGCCTTCCTCTAAGAACACAGCAACATGCGCGCTTCTTGCACACATTCTCATGGCATACCTTCTAAAAATAGACTTTGGGTTCGTAATGCTAATAAAAATATGCAATATAAGCAAAGATAATCAGAATCTGGGGGCTGCTGAGTGCCCGGGAAAAACCCTAAACCCTAGACCCTAAACCCTTCAAGCTTTGGAGTCTCACCCTAACCACCCTGAGGCTTAGCCCTATAAACGCTAAACGCTAAACTGCTATTTGCTTACGAACCACCAAAAGTAAAAAACACTAATCCCTATCTTGCCCTTATAAGGAAGAACGTTTTTATTTTTGGGAAGTAGTACACCTTAAACGCTAAACCCTGAGGGGCTAAGGTTCTGTAAGCCTAAACGATGGCCGTGAGAAGAGGTACTTAGCCTCCAGGAGCCAGTAGGGGTTCGGGATTTATAGGGCTTTGGGCACCCCCCTCCCGAAAAAAAAGCCAGAACGGAGGCGCCTTGGGCAGGGCTTCAACTTCCGAGTCGATGCCCGCCATGGCTTCTTCCACCGTCTCCAGCTCCAGCGGGACGGACTTCCCCTGCTGGAAGTTTAGGGTTTAGGGTTTAGGGTTTAGGGTTTCGGGTTTGGGGTTTAGGGTTTAGGATGGGTTTAGGGATTAGGGATTTGGGGATGTAGGGTTTATAGGGTTTTGCGTTTTCCGGTTTAGGGGCTCCCAGATATCGAACATTTACCGTGTGTTTTTAGGGTGTGGGGTGTGGGGGCGTTAAGTTTGCACAGCTGGGAGGGAGGGGGGGGGAGCATTTTTCAGGGTATTTGGGTCTAGGGCCTTGGGGTGTAAGAGTTGTGGTATGGAGGTCGTCAACAAAAAATCGCAAGAAACAAAAAACCTGCGGGCGGATCTTTCAGACGACCCATCCATGGCACCTCTTGTCAAGACAAGGAAACCCCGTCTCTGCATGCTCAACTCCATGTGACATGCGCAACGGGCAAACTCTCACCCCTGCAGCCCCACTTTCTCAGCAGGGCAGTCTCAAAGAGACGTAAACCCTAAACCCTAAACCCTAAACCCTAAACCCTAAACCCTAAACCCTAAACCCTAAACCCTAAACCCTAAACCCTAACTTCCCTCATTGGCTGCCGCCTCGGAAAGCGCGGTCCGTCGGGCGGCCGTGGTCGCGACCAAGCCTTTGGAGGCTCAGTTGAGGCTCAGGCTTCAAGGGTCATTTAGGCTTTTGGGGTTTAGGGCTAGGGTTTGGGGTTTAGGGTTTGGGGTTTGGGGTTTGGGGTTTGGGGTTTAGGGTTTGGGGTTTGGGGTTTAGGGTTTAGGGTTTAGGGAAGAAGGGGTTTAGGGAAGAAGGGGCTTAGGGTTTAGGGAATAGGGATAATGGTTTAGGGGCCCTTACTGTCCTAGGAGGCAAAGAGGCGAAACCCCTCCATGGGCCCTTATACGGCGCTTCTAAGGATCACTTTCCAGTCTAGAGTCTATATAACTCCCAATACATTATCCGCCTGGTCATGACCCATAGAGAAAGGTGAGTAGAATTAGGAAAGCCATTCGGTACTTGGTTGCACTTAGCAGGGTAGCTATAAATTTAGTTTTAAGCTACCTTTTTCAAGAAACCCAGTGAACCCAAAAAGGATCTAAAGTTACCGTAAACGCACCACAAGGGGTAGTTGGTGTGAGTTGAACGGAGCGTTTTGGCATCCGACCCTTCGGGGCATGAAGTCATTAGGGTTTAGGGTTTAGGGTTTAGGGTTTGAAGGGCCAACAGAAGTTTAGGGTTTGAAGGGCCCACAGAATTCTTTCCCCGAGCCACAGGAAGCGATGAGTGCAGCGATTGCATACCTGAGTGTGTGGATCCCAGTAAGAAAAATAGCGGGCTTCGGGCTTCGGAGTGTTTGGCAGGAGTTTTAGTGATTGAGGAATTGAGGAGACCGAGGTGCTTCTTTTGAACAGGCGTTGCGTCGTTCAGGATGCTTCAGGAATCGCCAACCCTAAACCCTAAACCCTGAACCCTAAACCCTCCTGATCGCGACCCAGGTGCATGATAGGCATATGCAGAAAATGGGATTTTGCAAAACTGCGAGGCAAGGACTGGGAGAAAACCCTGTCAAAGGCTCGAGCCAGCTTGGCCTGCAGTGGCGCGCAAGTGGTGGAGGGTTTGGGGTTTGGGGTTTGGGGTTTGGGGTTTAGGGTTTAGGGTTTAGAGTTTAGAGTTTAGGGTTTATGGTTTAGAAATTAGGGTACCCCTTGCCCTTGCCTCAAAACCCAAGCGAAGCAAAGCTTCGTGCCAGACCTGGAGGCAGCAGTAGACTTCACCCCAAAACGCATACTAACCCTAAACCCTAAACCCTAAACCCCAAAAACCTTAAACCCTGTTTGTTGAACCACCCTCGGCCCTCCTGCTACGCTTGCTACGCTTGCTACGGGGGACACCCCTTAAGTCTGTGGATGTCCTGTGCGGAATATCTATGGACCGCTGACCCCATGGGCTTTACCTTTCTGAATACCCAAAGGAGCAAATGAACCCTATAATTGGGGTCATATGCCCCAGTATGCGATTGATCCCTATACATCCGTTTAGGGTCCAGTTCAGTCCCCAAGGTACAGAGACCTCCTGGACCCGACCTTCTATGGGCCTCCCTTATAGCAGAGTGTATGGCCATCGACTCAAACCTCCCCTTCTCTGAGGAAGAAACCGATGGGGCAACTCTTGCTTGACAGTTTGGGGAAGCAGCTCTAGAAAACCCACGGTTACGAGGCGCAAGGCATGCATGATGCTGTGTTGTGGGGCCGACTCACCTGAGCTCTCGGCCCCACCTCGAACTCTCGCCTGCGCAGGGAGCACTGTTGGGTCACGTGGTGGTCAAATGGCCGGGAGATGCTGCGGGGGTTGCCCTCCCAACATTCTGAAGTTACGTCTCTTTGGGGGCTGAAGGCCTAGAGGACTCGGCTCTGTTCTACTGCCCAAAGTGCAAAAATGCTCTGGTCAGTCCTGTAATGTGGTCTGAAAGCACCTGAAAAAGTGTACACTCTCTTTCCTTAATCCCTGTTCCCCTAGGAAGAAAAAATGATCCCTTTTGTTCATATATAAGAAAGCCCATAACCCAAAAAGTAAAAAGGATCCCTAACACTGATCGAGTGTTTCCAGCCTCTGCGGCAGCCACAGCCCTCGGCGGCCGCTCGCGAACTACCGATGGCAGCTCTGGGTTCTGTTCGAGCAAAGCATGGGCTTGGTGTGCAAAATTAGGGTTTAGGGTTTAGGGTTTAGGGTTTAGGGTTTAGGGGTTGATTTCGGCTTCTGTCAAGTCCATAGCTACGCGTGAGATGCAGGAATGCTTCCCATGAAAGCCCGCTTACATGCTAGAATACTTGGGGTACTTCCTTGGGGACCAAATGAACCTTGAAATTGGGGTCCTACAGCCCTAGTACTACTGTAATTCTTATTCAGGAAATATGAACCCTAAACACTTTTAGTGTTCATCTCGTCCCAAGGTTGGGGTACTTGGGCCAACTTGCTTGCCCGGCGCAAAGGTACATCAGGCGACTCACACACGAGCAAGATTCCTGCGAGAGCCTTGCGAAGGAAGAGCCCGAAGAAGGAAACCCTAAACCCTGCCTAAGCCCTAAACCCTAAACCCTTTTTGCATCCAGGTCTCTTGCAGCCAGCCGGGTTAGAGTCAAGAAACCCTAAACCCTAAACCCAAAACCCAAAACCCTAAACCCTACTTACGCCCATCAAGGCGCCTGAAGCCCGCCAGCCCAGGAACAGACTTTAGTTTTGTGGGTTTCGGCGGTCAGGGGTACCGTTTGGAGCGTTTAGGGTTTAGGGTTTAGGGTTTAGGGACAAGTTCCAAGACATATTGAAGATTCAAGAGAACTCGTAAGCCTATTCCGATTTTGGATTGAAGACAGAGCAGAAATCCAAATCCAAAAAAGAACTCCTCAGTGGAAATATCCCCCACTCCTTGTCTACGATTCTTAAAGCGCTTGAAGGATAGCTGGGAATTTAAAGTGTGATCATCGATGTGTACCTCCCCAAAAATCCCGCAAAAGCCATGGGCTGAGCCTCGAAGGCAAGTGACGTCGCGAACTTCGTAGAGGCTTGAGAGCTTAAGAGAGTCTGCCTTAAGAAGCAAGACCAAAACCTGTGCTTTTTGTAGGTTTCCTCAGAATCGAATAAGGGGTTTTACAACAGGAGCCTACAAAAGGAGGCTAGTAGGTTTTGGGTGGCTGGGGTAGAGTCCAGAGGTTTATGCAGCCGTATGAATATAATAGAGACCCCAAAAGGATCCCTAATTTTGACAATCCCCTCCATATCCAAGCCGTCGCATCCTTCCACCAAAATCCCTCACCCAAACCCTCTTCGGAATGAATCTGCCATCGCACCCACCGTGGATATTCAAGTGGTGCAACAGTATGCCACAGTTCTGGATGAGCTTGTAGGCATGAGGTCGCTGGTGCACCAGAAGTGATTGCGCAGGCTGCCTGGTCTAGCTTACCATGACCCTGGACAACCAAAAGCAGGCAAACTTGTAGACTCCCAAGCGAATCTGCCTTCTCTATGGCGTGCACAGGCACCTTGGACACTTTTCCACACCAAGATTCGAGATCTCTCATTTCAGGTGAAACGCTTTGCACGGGCTCTGCTGGATAGAGCAAGCCCAGCCGGGTTAGGGTTTGAGGGTTTTTTGCCACCTGCACTGCACACGTCTAGGGTTTAGGGTTTAGGGTTCAGGGTTAAGTCGCTAGCAACTGTTGGAGATGCTTTCTAGGCCGAGCTAACCCCGACTACCTCTGCGACATACCTTAACCCTAAAATTGGGGGCAGATACCCTATTCCTACTACAATTCCCATTAAGGGAATATGGACCACAAACCCTTTTCGCTTTTCGGGTTCATCTGGTCCCCGAAGTCGACCGTGCAGGCGCATAGCCGCCACGAGTGCCAGAGCTTGGACCTCGGGCAACAACTGCAGCGGCGGCTGCGGCGGCTGCTCTGGCACTTCCTCCTATACTGAAAACTTGGAACCCTAGCACAAATTTTAATTACAATTATATAAGTATATATATATATATATTACATCTATATTGTTGTTTCTTAGGAATTAAAGTGCCAAAAACATTTCTAAATGTCCCTTAGCCTCCTCTGGAGCTACGCTCGGACCCTCGTTGCTTCAACGCGGCAGGTGCCTCCTTGGTACTGCCGGGGCGTCGAGGAATCGGAACCTTTGCCTCCTTACCAGCGGCCTCTGGTGCGTCAGCTTCTTTACCTTACTTCTCCAATAACCAAGGGGAAAAAGGTTAAACCTTATAATTTTCCTACTAAGAAAAGGTTAAACCTTAATATTCCCACTAAACAAGGAAACCCAAAAAACTTAAATGTCAACTAAAGGCGAAGTAAGTTACACGCCTCCTCGTCAGGAGGCGGCTCTTCTGCAGGGATGGCTCTTGGAGGGCTCGGCAGTCGCGGTGGGCGCTTTGCTTCGATGGCAGCGCACTTGGCCCGCAGTTGGGCAAGCCTTGGTAGCCCAGTACAAGGACGGGCCCCCTTACACTAACTGTAGTTAAGGGACTTATAACCCTAATTTAGGATCCTTATAACCCAATGTAGGGCACTTAGAACTCTACTTCTAACTAGGGGGGCCCATCCTTGTAACCATAATTTTTTAATTTAGTACATAAGGGCACCCTTTTTTGGGGTTGGCGACTTTACAAGGGAGCCTTGAAGCAAAAAAAGGGGAAAGGGTACCCACTGGGTCCCCAAGATGCTCTTCCTGGGCCCCTTGCAGCTTCTCACATTCCAGGCGTCCCGCCTTGCTCTTGGCCAGCATCTGCTGCCAACCTTGGGAGGGTTTAGGGTTTAGGGTTCATATACCTGAATAAGAATTACAGTAGTATAGGGTATATGACCCCATACCTGAATAAGAATTACAGTTGTATAGGGTCTATGACCCCAATTTTAAGGTTCATGTGGCCCCCAAGGAACGCTGCAGGTGTTCTTCCTGGACCTCCTTAGTTGTCCAGTATCCTTGGGGAACCAAAGCTTATAACCTCTGGGATTATAAAGGGAAGCTCATACCCCCAAAAAAGTTAAAAGGTTACCTACTCCACTGCTAAGCCTCAATCTGGCGCTTCATGTCCATGAGGCCGATCTGCATCCTTCTGTAGCCCAGTAACCATCTTATGATCATAAGGGCACCCTTGTTTGGGTTGGTGATTTTATAAGGGAACACCCTAAACCCTAAACCCTAAACCCTAAACCCTAAACCCTAAACCCTAAACCCTAAACCCGGAACCCTAAACCCTAAACCCATCAAGCAAAAAAAAAAAGGGAAAAGGGTACCACTGGGCTTCCCCAAGCATCTCTAAGGAACGAATCTCAGATTCCAGGCGGAGCTCCTCCGAAGCCATCTTGGCCTCTTCTACATCGAAGCCGCCTCCTGGCACCATCTCAGCCCATGGTTGTCAGGAGACCCTAGGGGTCACCGCCTTAAGCGCATGTGGCTGCTACACTGTAGCTGTATGAGCCGTCTACGGTTTAGGAGTTTAGGACTCTTTTTAGGGCTCGGTTGAGGTTGAGTGGTTACGGTTAGGGTTTACGGCTGCATGCCCGAGAATGACGCATAACCAACCTGCGCCCCATCGACGGCCCAAAGAAGCCCCAGCCGCGTAAACAACCTGCACCCCATCGTCGCCCCAAAGAAGCCGAAGCCCCATCCACCTAACCAACCTGCACCTCCCATCGTCGCACCAAAGAAGCCCCATCCGCGGAACCCCAGCCGCGGAACGCGGAACCCCACCTAGCTCCTGCTTCTGAGTGCGGCGATCACACGATCATGACAGATGGGGGTGTCCGGATTGAGGGGACCCCTAAAATAGACCCCCAAATGCTAGGATTCCTAAGAAGGACCCCACGCCTAATTTCGGAAGCCGCCCATATTATACTGGCCTTCTACCATTTTTAAAATTATGGTTCAATAGGTTGCTTTTTCACCATTTGCATTTGTGCGTTGTGTTATGTTGGCCTGCATCGTCTCTGCCTTCATGACTACATGACTTGCCTGCACCAAGGGCCCATGCATGCTTCCAGATCTGAGAACCTGGGATAAGAGGGACAAGATCCTACCGGGCTCAATTCGGTTCTTGTTGCTGTGCTATGGCGCCATTTTCTGACTGCCTCGGATCCGGCTGTCAAGAGATGCAGGTCCCAAGACGAGGTCACCGTGGCCATGAAGGTGCCGCTCGGCACACAGTCGGCTCTCTCAAGAGGTCATGCCTGGTTTACTGCCTGGTTGGTAGTTGGCAGGAGGAGTCTCGAAAACGCCAGTGCAGGCAAGTTGCCAGAAAGCTTTTCAGAATTGCCTGGGAATCTGAGTATCTGGCTGAAGAAGAAATCCGCCACCATTGTTGGCTGTCTCCCGACAACGGCTCATGTCTGGTCCACAGGAGCACCGAGCTTCAGCGAGCTTCAGTGTCAGGCACAGCCGGACGTAGACACTGCAGGCATGCCACCATAGGGATTTGACGCTGCGTGCGGGTGAAGAAGCTGCCAGTGGCGAATCCACAATCGAGATGTTCCCAACCTTGCGGATTGGGAAGTGTAGACTACAATGAGTCACATGACGCCCTCTCTTGTTTGAAAACTCCGCGGAGGACGCAGCAGCTTGCGCCACGCCTCGATGGGACGGCAACTCCGGCGATGATCCCCGGCATGTTTCATCCTGCCAGGGCGTGGATTAAGGGCAAAGGGGTTTGCAAAATGCCGAAGGCATTTCTCGACCCCCCCATGGAGACCCAGCACAGACCAATGATAGATCCAAACTCACGACAAGCTCCCAATCCAATCTCCAAATTGGAGATTGATGTTGCAAAAGAAAGGGGGGGCACTGTTCTCTTGCAGGTTTTGCAGCTTCGCGTAAGCACAGGGGGCCTCTTTTGCAGGCTAGAGCCCTTGGGCCGATGAGCACTGGCAAGTTGTGATGAAAGTGCGCAAGATCCTTGCTGCCTTGCCAAAGCGGGCCGGGAAGGAACAGGACCAACTCTATCAGCTTCTCAGCGTCACTTTGCAGCGCGAGAATGCACGTGCGGTTCGGCGGCTGTCCTCGGAGACGATTGCAGTCCCACACTGCTGATGCCATTCCTCCCGTGTCCCCGTCCGCCTTTTTGCTCTGGCCTGCCTGGCCTGTTCTCAGTCAGGCCATGCAGCCTGCTTGTTCTTGTGGGCCTTGCCGGCACGTTGGCCAAGAAAAGCGTTCCAGCCAAAGGGCTTTCCTGGTCACCTGAAGATCCGCGAATCTGAGGCATGGGGCTCTGCCGATGCTTGAGTCATACCTGAGTGGCGCCCAGGGTTTCAAGCGATGAAAAAAGCAGCAAGTATCGCCAAGATGAAGCAGGCACCTTGGGCAAAAAGCGCTGGCTCCCCCCGCAGCCACGTCAACAGGCAGCAAAGTCAGAGACAGCCGCTGGAACTCTTGGCTTGGGCGCAACAATTGCCCCCTTGAAGATCCTTTTTGTCCCTGCCTCCACCTACTTGCAGAAAAAGTCTCAGCCACAGCGCAGGCGGCAGAGATCCTTGAGAGAAGAAAGGAGACACTAGAAGATGCTGGAGGACAGCCTTGGCTGGTCACTCGGGAAATGCAGCGATCTGCACCTAGAATTCTCAACGGGATGTAAGGCGGCAATCATTGGCAGCAGGCTCGCCGCGCAACGGAAGTCAAAGGCAGCAACGTCAGAGGCACGGCCACTTTGTCAACGGCATCCATTTCTGAACGTTGCATGTCGTATTCAGGGAAGCTTCGTCCCCCGACCGACAGCACCAGGCACACGCTGTTTTGCCTGAAAATCTAGAGGTAATCTCAAAATAGCACACGCTGCAGGCGGCCACCATGCAGCCCACCGATCTTGCTCCTGACCCAGACAGTCTGTTTTGCTAAGGGGCAGCACTTGCAGCATTCCACTTGGGTGGAAGGAAACTGCAGAGAGTAGGCCAGGGGACACAATCCAGTACCAGCGACGGTGTGACATCAGCCACCCGAGCTGAAGAGAATGCGCAGGGAACTGGGGGGAGAGTATCAAAAACAGTAACGTGTAGGGCATGCAGATGATGCAGCTCGAAGCTCAGGCTTTGTGGGGGTTGGCAGCTGCTTCCACGCACCGCGATTTGCGGACTGCGTGCTGCGCGCCAAGGAGCCTCACCACTTCTTTGCGCGTGCAGCGTCGAATGCTCGAATGCTTGCCTTTCATGAGGACCCAGAGCCAGTGCGGCTTGACACTGCGCCGGTAACATCTGCAGATGCTCACTGGCGGGGACAGCCACGAAGATGCTTCTACATAAGCTGTCAGCGCATGCGCACCGCGCAGTCTGCAGCACTTCACTGTAACAGCAATCATCAAGGCACCGCGGGACTGCGGACTGCTCGCAGCTGAAACAGAGGACCGGAGACAAGAGACTTGGGCTTGCACTGCAAGTCAAGTGATGTTGCACCCCGCCACTGTCGATTTACAAGCGGATGCTTCGCTGTGAACTCTTCAGTGGGGCACAAACATTCCTGCCCCTTGAAGATCCTTCTTGTCCCTGCAGCACATCACTGTAACAGCAATCATCAAGGCACCGCGGGACTGCGGACTGCTCGCAGCTGAAACAGAGGACCGGAGACAAGAGACTTGGGCTTGCACTGCAAGTCAAGTGATGTTGCACCCCGCCACTGTCGATTTACAAGCGGATGCTTCGCTGTGAACTCTTCAGTGGGGCACAAACATTCCTGCCCCTTGAAGATCCTTCTTGTCCCTGCAGCACATCACTGTAACAGCAATCATCAAGGCACCGCGGGACTGCGGACTGCTCGCAGCTGAAACAGAGGACCGGAGACAAGAGACTTGGGCTTGCACTGCAAGTCAAGTGATGTTGCACCCCGCCACTGTCGATTTACAAGCGGATGCTTCGCTGTGAACTCTTGAGTGAGGCACAAACATTCCTGCCCCTTGAAGATCCTTCTTGTCCCTACCTCCACCTATTTGCAGAAACGTACGCCTGCAGAAGAGGCTTTGGCTGGTCATCCGGGAAACGCAGTAATCTGCATCTAGAATTCTCAAGGGGATGCAAAGCGGCAATCATTGCTGCTTTTGTGCAAAGCTTAGGCAGCAGGCTCGCCGCGCAACGGCAGTCAAAGCAAAGTCAGAGGCACGGCTACTCTTGCCACGGCATCCATTTCTGAACGTTGCATGTCGTATTCAAGGAAGAAGTTGTCCCCCGACCGACCGCACCAGGTGCACGCTGTTTTGGCATGACAGTGTAAAGCTATCTCAAAGCACACGCTCACCATGCAGCCCACCGATCTGGCTCCTGACCCAGAAAGTCTGCGTTGCTAAAGGGCAGCACTTGCAGCATTCCACTTGAGCAAGGAAACTGCAGAGAGTAGGCCAGGGGACACAATCCAGTACCAGCGACGGTGTGACATCAGCCAGCCTGCAACACCTGCGCAGCTGTATGAAAGCGGAAGAGAGTGCGTAGGGAACTGGGCGCAGAGTAACAAAAACAGTAACGTGTAGGGCATGCAGATGATGCAGCTCGAAGCTCAGGCCTTGTGGGGGCTGGCAGCTGTTTCCACGAACTGCAATTTGCGCACTGCATGCTGCGTGCCGCCGAGCCTCGCCACTTGGCGCGTCGAATGCTCGAATGCTTGCCTTCATGAGGACCCAGAGCCAGTGCGGATTGAAACTGCGCCGGCAACATCTGCAGATGCTCACCGGCGGGGACAGCCACGAAGATGCTTCTGCATAAGCTGTCAGCGCATGCGCACCGCGCAGTGTGCAGCACTTCACTGTAACAGCAATCATCAAGGCACCGCGGGACTGCGGACTGCTCGCAGCTGAAACAGAGGACCGGAGACAAGAGACTTGGGCTTGCACTGCAAGTCAAGTGATGTTGCACCCCGCCACTGTCGATTTACAAGCGGATGCTTCGCTGTGAACTCTTGAGTGGGGCACAAACATTCCTGCCCCTTGAAGATCCTTCTTGTCCCTGCCTCCACCTATTTGCAGAAACGTACGCCTGCAGAAGAGGCTTTGGCTGGTCATCCGGGAAACGCAGTAATCTGCATCTAGGATTCTCAAGGGGATGCAAAGCGGCAATCATTGCTGCTTTTGTGCAAAGCTTTAGGCAGCAGGCTCGCCGCGCAACGGAAGTCAAAGCAAAGTCAGAGGCTCAGCCACTCTTGCGACGGCATCCATCTCTGAACGTTGCATGTCGTATTCAAGGAAGAAGTTGTCCCCCGACCGACCGCACCAGGCACACGCTGTTTTGTCCTGACAATGTAAAGCTATCTCAAAGCACACGCTGCAGGCGGCCAACATGCAGCCCACCGATCTGGCTCCTGACCCAGACAGTCTGCGTTGCTAAAGGGCAGCACTTGCAGCATTCCACTTGAGCAAGGAAACTGCAGAGAGTAGGC